GGAGATTGTTCCAAATTCAGGCTTTCACATTGGTTGTTTTGCCAAGTTCATACTCAAAATACAGATTCTCCTAAAGAAGTATAAGTCGTAGCCTTGACAATGTATGCTTCATCAAGCTAGTTTGAAACATGTAGGAATTCTGTTCATTACCTCCACTGTGTCACAGTGTAAGCACATACACATGTATGTGCATGCACCTGAGAGAGAGGCACACAGGGTATGTAAATACACATTCACCATTAAAAACTCTGTTAATTGAGATTAACTCAGTAAGTTTTGCCTTTTTAGCATAGTATAATTGTTACATGATAACAATAATGTGTAAAACTTCACTGCAGTAAGACAGCACGTGCTGCTGTTTCCTCTGAGCACCAGGGCAAATACCCCAATACCACCTGCCACAGTGCTTTACAAAATTTACAGAGGTTTGGCCTATGGCAACTACATTTATGATCAACAAAATCAGTACTACTGTTCATCCTCTCCTCTATCAGTTAGCTACTGTATAACCACCAACTAAGGAGGAAGAAAACTGTGATACTCTGAACATAGTCTATGACACAAGATTAAACACTTGTACAACAGTCATACATGTATATGTGGAAGCAATTTGTGGGGATGGAAAAACTGTGTATCATTCACTGTACACCTTAACAGGGAAGCTGAAAAATATGGGTGTCTTCTAGCACATAAGACGGACATAAAAACCACATTTTTTTTTTTTTCCTTACTGCAAGGGTGATTGAACACTGAAGCACGTTGCCCAGGGAGGTGGTGCAGTCTCCATCCTTGGAGATATTCAAAACCCCAAGGGACACAGTCCTGAACTCTAGCTGACCCTGCTATGAGCAGCGGCTTGGACTAGACAACCTTTCAACGCACTAGGTATGCCCATCGACCTCAGCTATTCTATGATTCCTGAACAACTCTGGGTTGGCCAGAAGTTTGAATGAATGACCAGGACAATGAAAGTCCTTGGTGCTGCAATAACCATCTGTTTTATGGCATTCAGGTGCAGAGGTAAATGGTTATTACAATGCACTTAAGAGTTGGATCCATTTCAGAAGCTGATAAAGTAATTCTTATCTCTTTTTTTGTTAAAACCTTTTCAGAAGGAAAGGAACAAATGCAAGTTTATTATTTATTGTGTTACTTCCTTTGCATTAGCCTATATTAGTTTTAATGAATTTATTGCTAGACAACTTAAATCCCAAATTAAGATCTTGAAAGCAGTTTTACAGAATTAGCATTTTTACAGAATAAAAGCCAGCAATATGAATTGCTGTTTTGATTTAAATCTTCTACTAGTTTTATAGCTTAAACAGTACATAACTGTGCTGGCACAGCTATGTTAAGATCAAACTGGGATAGACGTCACCAGGGTGTCCCACGTGCAGTACCCAGGAATCCAGTCTGCCGTCTTTTCTGCTGGTGCTGTGCAGAGCCCTTAGTGCTGCCCTTAGGTGAGGTGAGGAAGGGATAGTTCAGTTCCAGGGCTCCCTGGGTTTATATTATTCTGTTCTTACTAAACCTCCAAGGGGCAGCAGTGTTTCAAAAAGCTTATTAGGATATCTCAGCAGTGAATAAAAGAAATGATGTGATAGTGGATAACGTTCTATTATCTCATAGAAAACTCCCACAGTTATCCACAAAACTCATGTAATTGCTTTGTCATTTGTGCCTGTTAGACTTTCTGAAAAGCCACTCTGAGGAGTAGGAGCCAGCACTTGCAGGAAACCAAGCACCAAAGGATCCCTCACCAGGCACACATACCCAGACCAGTGACTCATTACAGTACTTTACTAAGTACCTGTCAGGTCTGTATCTCAACCTGCCATGAAGCACTGGCTTATTCCTGGCATTTATAATGACAAAAACTGTCTATCTAAATTCTGGATGAGGATGAGAATATTCTTCCTTTGAAAAGAGTAACCCAAGAAAACTCTCTGTGTGGAGACTGGTGACTGCAGGAGAAGGTTGCTCCCTCTCTGTGCTTATGATATGATGGAAACTAGATAAATACTATTCTAGCTGGTGCTGCAGTTTAATTTTCAATGGTTAAATTGGCCAAGTTCACTAAAGCCTTTTCTTACAGACTCTGCACTCAGGGAAGATACTATAGGAGGTCCTTACTGCTCTACTGTTGGTTGCAAGCTGGCAATGTGCTGGAGAAAGGAACAGCTAGTTCTGAGCACAGTATTACACAGGTGAAGCTTAATCTGTACTTCAAAGGGCTGCATAAAACATTGACCTGTCACATTTATGCAGCTACTTAATTTTCCAATCTAGGACAGCATGACTGCAAATTACATTTGCCTACTGGTTAGTTTGCGCAGCTGTAACTCTTCTGTCATTTTGCAAGTGCTCTCCTTACCCAGAGGGCTGTACTTTAGAAGGAGAACTTGGAAGCCCTCAAACTGAGACAAGCCTGGCAGTTCGACTGGAAGCAAACAGAACACTTTATGTATCTTGGCATAAACAAACACTGCCCTTAGATGTTCCCTTTCAAAGCCAGACAGAGGGGGGGGTGCAAAAGAGGTTGTTAGAGAGTCTCTTCGAAACTCTCTACAGCACAGTATTTGGCATTGTGGCACTTAAAAATTTTACTTTGGGTTTTATAGAGGCAGTATTATAAAATAAATACATAATCTGCACGTTTTAACAAAGTATATAAACAAACAGCCAAAAATTGTAAGAACTCATTGAATTTTTTTCTGTGTCTGCAGTATAGATTAAATGTTTTGGCTCTGGTTTTCCTCACTGAAGACTCCAGTCAGCCAGCTGCTTCTGCTGTTGCTGACTCCAGCGGTAGCTCACCTAGTGACTGTGAAGATGGCCCTTCTGTGGGGGCGGGTGCCCTGCAAGCCTGCTGCCCTTGCTGGCCACCGGCCGGGCCGGGCCGGGCCGGGCCTTCTGCCTAGGGACAGGCGGGATTGCCACCCCAGGCTGTCTGGAAAGAGGCAGAATCTCCACTATCTTTCACCAGAAATTCTCTGGGGAGGGACAGCTCTAACTTCATGTTGGTGATTCATGGAACCGTGACCTGTAAAAGCTGCCTTGGAGTAGAGAGAGGTAAGTTTCCTGGGAAAGCAGTGGGCCACCACGTTTATTTGCGCCTCCCTCTCTAAATTAAACCAAACTCTGAGGGACAGGGAAGTGCATCAGGCACAAGTAACTTCTTAATTAAGGGTGTCTGTCTGGGAAATTTTGCTGGCCCGATTCTCCCCTTTGTGGGACATGCAGCCGCCATTCGGTTTCCACAGAAGAAAGATTTAGTAGAGCTTTCAATATAGACTTTGTAGAGGACTATGCTGATAGGAGTTTTAATAGAAGTGGTTTATATCTAGTGCAGCAGATATTTACTTACTTTCTTGGTTTATAGCAAGAGGAATTCAGATAATGTAAACCTTAGAAAGAATTAATCCTGATTTCAATACAAACTTTTAAGTTGATTTTCTCTTTTTAAATAATTGATATAACACATCTAATTTTTAGTTAAGAATAATTTGTGAAATCATTCTGGTCATATTACTCAAATGCTAGATCTGAGATAATGAAAAACTTATGGCCTCTGGTGGGTTAGCATGGACCATAAAATGTACTAAATCAGAGACAAGGAAAGCTTGAAATAGCTTTTATGAAGTAGCTTGAGGGGAAGCGTGAAGTAGGTTGTGTGAAATAGCTTGTATTTACCATTTAGGACTCATTTTGCTAAAGCTATACATTTTCCCTTGTTAAAAATAAAGAAATAAACACTGATTAATTTATTCAGCTAAAATACTAGTGTGAGCATCAATCTTTTATTTGAATATAAACTCCTCCTGTTTTTAATTACTGGTAACAGCTCTACTGGCTCAAAAGGGCATTTTAAATGTTAGCATTTGAAATTTATTCTGCTTCTTTTTTTCTGCACTCTTTGATGGATAAGGAAAAGGGGCTGCTCTGTATTTTCCTTGCACCAGCTCCCCTTTGTGATTCCCCTGCTCAAAGTCACAGACAGCATTATTTTTTTTAAGGAAAACATGACACTGGAAGGTGGTTAAATGATTTTTGTACCCTACTAACAATCCAGTCAGGCTTTTCATTTGCACACGTGATGACTAAATAGCCCACCAGGTTCCCATCTCCATTTTGACCTCTATGAACGCAGCTGGTGCAGGCAACAGCTCTTCCACAGAGAGATGCTGCCGCCGCTGCTGCTCACTGACAAGGCAATTAAATGTTAACGAGCCCACCGAAGGAAAGCCGAGCTATTTAAATCGGTGAGGAAATGGCACCAGTAGGATTTCGAACTGTGACACACAGAACGTGGAGAAGCTGTAAAAGCTCAATTATCTCGGTGCAGACCGTGCCTACGAGCAAGCTGATGAGCCGATACTGTTATCAATCCCGTGTACAGCGGCAGTCATACATTTTTATTTCAGGCGCTCAGATGACGCAACGACGCCCCCAGAATAACTTTCCGTCATCGCTTTCCTCAGTTTCACTTTCTCGCAAGCGCACCGGCTCGGGGAGTCGGGTCGTGGCAGGCGCGGCCGGTGCCGCCGCGGGGGCCGGGGGGGGCGGTGCGGGCAGCACCGGCCGCGCCTAACGGTCCCCCGGCGGGGGCCGGCCCCGCTCCTCTCTCCGGCGAGACAGGAGCTCCCCCTCCCGAGGCGCCGCAGCCTCGCTCCTCCCCGCCGCGGCCCGGGCCTCTCGCCCCGCTCTCCGCCGCGTCCCTCTCGGGGGGGGGAGCACCACGGGCTGGTGGCCCGCCGGGGAAGAAGGGTCAGGGCGCTGTCTCCTGTCCCGGGAGGGGCGTTGGGCTCCCTCCGGGCTTCCAAGTAGGTATCCGCCGCGGGAGCGCTACCGGCATCCCGGCTGCTGCCCAGCGGGGCCCGGAGGGACGGGTGTGGGGGTGGTTAAACCCCGACCTGCTCCAGGCCCCCCGCCCCGCGGGTGCGCGGCGCTCCGGGGCGGGGGCAGGGCGGGAGCCGGGTGGCGCTGGGCGGTGGCACCGCATGCGCAGGAGCCCAGGTGCCTGCCGGCTTGCGGGGAGCCGGGAGCGTCGCGGGCAGCCCGGCGTCCTCATGGTGCTGGTTCAGGGCGGCGAGGCCGCCGCGGTTCCGCCAGCGGGCGGGAAGGAGCCGGAGGTGCCGCCGAGCCGGGAGGACGGTGCGGGTACGGGGCAGCCCTGCCTGTGCCCGGCGCCTGGCATGGAGGCGGCAGGCGCCGAGGAGCGCCGCGTTTGTGGCTGCTGCTCGGGCTTGTCCTGGCCGCGCTGCTGCAAGGCACCTGGTGAGGAGGGGGGAAGAGTCTGGCAAGCGGGGCAGGGGGCGGGCAGCGCCCTCCCGGCTGGGCTCCCCGCTCTCGGGGTGACATTGCCGGCGGGGCGGAGGAAGAGGAAGCGGCCCCGAGGGCACCGGGGATCACCGCGCGGGGCGGCGGGGCGCGGAGCGAGCTGGGGCGGCCGCAGAGGGCGCCCGGCACCTGCGCGGGCTGCAGCCCGGCCGCCCCCCAGCCCGGCCACTCCCGGCCCCTGCGAGCGTGTGCGGCCTCGACACCTTCCTCCTCCTTCCTCCTCTGCACCGGACGAGCCGGCCCCCTGTGAAGAAACTAAGTGAAGCGGCAGGCACGACCTCCTGGCTGGCGCTGGCCCGTACGCCCGGCCGGGCCCCCGGTGCTCCCCCCGCCCCGCCCCGGGAGCGGGCAGAGCGCTCGGGGCCCCCCCGGCCGCGCACCGCCATCCCCCGCCGCGGGCTGGTGCTCGGAGAGAGCTTCGGTAGCGATTATCCCTCGGGAAAGCAGTGCTTCCTGTTGTCGGAGTTTTAAAGTAAGACCCGAGAGGTTTGGCCAAATCGAGGTACTTTCTAGCAGTGTGAAGTTCCGGCGCTAAGTACATTGAGAAGGGGCGTGAGTGCTGAGATGAGCCCATACACTTGCAGCAATGACTTCTTTGGTAATTCTTACCTGACTTTACTGTGAGTGTGTTCTTTGTCTTAATCTGCTTTTCACTTCTTGGTCATTTTGAATTGTTAAAGCCACAAACTTACTGCGAAGTATGGAACGCGGTTTTGTATGTTTGATGGGGCTTCCTTTTAAAACATAAATGCCATCTTAAAATAATTTTTGAAGTTGTTAGCTGAAGTACTTTAGCAGGTTTTGAACAACTTCACTGAAAATGTGTTTCTTACTAAATATGGACTATTGCATTTCCGGCAGAAAGTGGATGAACTGGCAGTCTTTGTTAGCTACTGAGCTGTGGAGAGGCCAGAAGAGATAGAGTACTTCACCAGTGAAATTCACATTAATATCAATTCTAAGGGAAAGCTTGGAAAAAAAAAACAACCAACCAAAAAAAACAACCCAGAAAAAACCCCACAATCCCACAACAAAAACAGTGTTTGAAATCCTGAGAAACTTGCATTTATTCACCAAAAAAAAAATGTTTTTTTTTTCAAAGTCTGTCTAGCAAAGTGTTAATTGACTCAATGGCTGAACTTTATGAATCATGCCTAGATCTTGTCTGCGTGACCATGATTAGTTCATACACAGGCTGTTGTAATCCTGGTGCTTTCCTGAAGTCTGTGAGAGAGCTGTTCTGCTTCTTATGGTGTGAAGAATGGATCATCCTCTTCTGGGTTTCCTGAAGGTCTGGGAAAATTACCTTCTCACTGTCCACCTTTCTCATAGCCAGTACTCTTATGCCTCTGCTATTCTTCTCAAGATGCATGTGTGTGAGAAGTGTGATTTTCTTCACTGGATGCATTTTGCAAGTATAAAAGCTGTTTGCAAGAAAGCATGGCATTAAAACACAACAACAACTTACACAGAAGATGGTGTGCAGTGGGAGACATTTGGCTAGGACTTAGGAGTTGAAGATTGTTTGAAAGCCTTATGTGTAGAGATGGACAGGGAATAAAATTGGAAAACCAACTCTCAAATTTGTAGCTGCTCTAAAAAGAAGACTTTTTTATTTTCAGACTGCTATACTTTTCTAAAAAAAACATAAGTACTTGAGTATTTTGGTGGTGCTGGGCTAGTGTTTGGAGGCTTAATATTTTGTGGGGTAGGAATGTTATCTTGACCTAACAATGTATTTTGAAATAAGTACTCATCAGGTGTGTAATTCTTGTTTTTTGTTTTTGGTGGAAGAACTCATGCCATTTTATTTTTAAAAGGAAATAAAACACTTTCTCACTGCACTGGGTACGTGCTTTGGCAATATGAGATGTTGATGGTTTAAATTCTAGTATTACAAGATACTGTTTCTGATAGGCTTGGTATATTGGGTAGCTTACAAAAATGAGTTCCTTGTGGTTTTAATTTGTTCCTTCAAATCCAAAGCTTACTTCTGCATATAAGATCTCTTCAACTTACTTTGCTTTAATTTGATTGGTTTTCCATTTCAACACTTCCATTATTTAGATTGGCTTCATTCTGTAGTAATCAGACAACCTATCATGCCTGAAATAAAAGGTAATAGTTCTGCTTGTGCTGTGTTCATCCATCAGCCAGCCTGGGTTTGGATTTCTCATTTCAGTTATAGGCCAGTCTAATTCCTTTTGCTTTAATATTAGAGACATTGTTGATTTTGTAGTGCTGTTGCTTGACTGTGGATTAGGACATTACATAATTCATGAACATTTTTTAAATCTGCTCTGTTTCATAGTTGGTAGATGTCCCAGTCCAGTGTTGGCTGGTAGTAGTTTTTATAGTCACCTTTATATAAGTGGCTGTTGCTAAATACGGTATTTCTAGTAGAAACTGTAATTTATTTTCAGCTGTAGTGTGGCTAGATTCCTTGAAAAGCAGGCCTTCTGCCTACTTTAAGTTCTGATTGTAGTTGTAAAGCTTGGGTGTCTAGAATTGTTAAAGTCAGAACCAATGTTATACACACTATCTAGTAAGATGCAGTTTCTCAGCCTTGAATGCTGATCTCAAGGAGGATCAAAATGGTTTGTGACAAGTTTTGTTAATTTAAAAGAAAAACCCACACATAAAATAAACCAAAAAACCCTCAAAACCACATTTAGTTGCTAAGCAACTCACATCAGTACCCTGCTGATAATGTTTTAGAGGATCCATAAAGCTCATGGGCTCTCACAGTAATGTGAGATAAGGTACCCTTTTATCAAAACACTGCTTCAGGGACATGGAGTTCTCGCTTTTATCTTTAGAGGGTGTTGTAGAGGAAAAGGCAATTTCCAATATTTTATGCAGACAGAAAGAAAAGAGATAGTGAGGTAACAACATCCCATTCAAATTTTCAGATGGGTTCTCTTTTCCATGGTGTTCACCTCTAGGTTCAGCGGAAAGACTTCCTCTTATGCAGCAAAGCAGTAACACAAAAGGCTAGTTTATCTGGAGACAGTGTTGAGGTCAGTAGAAGTTCACCCTCTCTGTGTTTTTTTTTTTTTTTGTTTCTTTCTTTGGTTGGTTGTTTGTTTTTTTTGTTTTTTTTTTTTGTTTTTTGTTTTTTTTTTTGTTATAGTTGAGGGTGGAGAAGATAAGTGGAACCCGGAAGAGTATGGTACTGTAGAGAGCCTGAGGCAATGGGGAAGCTTAAATAGAAACTATTAGACTTGGGAAACTACTTCAGGAAGAGAAAGTCTGATAAATAAGCATAAGCTAAGGTGAAACTAAGGTCTTCATGGAATTGTGATAGGTATTAGTGCTTTAAGCAGGCCTATGATGTTTTAAAATTAGTCACTGAAATTTTTTCTGCTTAAAAATGTGTATTTGATGTTTATTTGAAGAAAATATTTGGATTCTTACACCAAGACAAAGATGTTATATAAAACTTAAGTAGGTTTAGGTAAAATTTAGGGTGAATTAGCTGCAAAAGTGTAACAAAAGTGAGGTTCTGCACACAGTTTTTATGTGTGTGTATTTGTGAGAAATTAAAGTGCTTCTTATGAACCTTAGTTAACTTACCCAATAATCAGATGACTCCCAAGGCAGTAAGTTTGAGTGTTTCAGAATCTGACCATGACCATTTTGCAGTCAGTTGTATTTGCTGGTCCTTGGGCAATGGTCAGAATCATACGACTGGTCCTACAGTGAATCGCCCAAACTAGCCTGGTGCTTCCAGGAAGTAAAGCCTACCAACTCATGTCAACCTGTGAGAAGTTTTGTATCAGAAGTGCTACGGTTCATCTCTTATCTCCTGTTTTAAGAAAAAAAAGGATACTTATGGTGGTCAGTGAAACATATTTTCAAGCTATGTCTAGTAAATAAATGTAGTATTTGCATTTGTTTCTGTTGCTTCTCCTGTCTTCTACCACAAGAATTGCTATGAATGTGTGGAGCACTGTAGTATGTGGAGCTGCCTGACCAGAGAAATCTTCTAATAGATCATTATTAACTGGAGTTTATCTGTTGCAGGAACAAAGAAGAAAGCTGCGTGTCCAGGACTTGGTCTGTTTTATACTGTACTGTCTGCCTTCCTTTTCTCAGTGGCCTCCTTATTTCTTAAAAAAATAGAAGATGTGCATTCAGTGGAAGTGAGTGCATTTCGATGTGTTTTCCAAATGGCATTTGTTCTTCCTGGTTTAATATACTACAAGTAAGTGTAGCAAATGTTTAAAGTTATTTCTTAAAAATAGATCTAGAATTATCACTCACTTAAATCAGATTGCAATATTATTTTAATTCAGACTTCAATTGCATAACTGAGTTGTTTTGGATTAGTTGATAGTTTCCTAATACAATTCAGAAAATTGAAAGTCTTTGACTCCCTGAATTGTTGAGGCTTCTACAGGGATTATATCAAATGTATTGATCTTCCATGAAGTGGTGTTCTTATAAAATAAAAGGTAATTTGCAGATACTCTTGGGTTATTTTGCAAGCAAAAAGTTAATAGCTAGATGAACAAGACTCTGAATGTGTCTAGGGGGTGGTGATGGGAATAAATTGGTCTGTGATCAGACAGTTAAGAATGTTTTGATATTTGAAGTGAGTCTGTCATCTAGAAGGGTGTGTACATTTAAATGTGATTGGATGCTGGTCATGAAATAAGCAAGCCAGTGACATTAATGTGATATTTCTATTTTTCAGAACAGGGTTTTTGGGACCAAAAGGTAAAAGAATCTTTCTTTTCTTCCGAGGATTCCTTGGCTCTAGTGCAATGATTCTTCTCTACTATGCTTTCCAAGTCATGCCACTAGCTGATGCCACAGTTATAACTTTTAGCAGTCCTGTTTTTACATCGTTGCTGGCATGGATCTTTCTCAAAGAGAAATACAGTATTTGGGATCTTCTGTTTACCCTCTTCGCAATCACTGGAGTGGTTCTTATTGCCAGACCACCATTTCTGTTTGGCTCAGACGTTACGGGGATTGAAGGAAGTTATACAGATCACCTTAAAGGAACTATAGCAGCAATTACAAGCACACTATCTGGAGCTTCAACTTTTGTTATACTAAGGAAGGTGGGAAAATCTGTGCATTATTTTTTGTCAATTTGGTATTATGCAGTCATTGGTTTAATTGGATGTGTTATAGCATTATTTGTTATGAACGAATGGCGTTTACCATACTGTGGTAAAGATAGGGTTCTTCTAATATTAATAGGCTTGTTAGGGTTAGGGGGTCAGATATTTCTCACAAAAGCATTACAGATAGAGAAAGCTGGACCTGTAGCCATAATGAAAACAATGGATGTGGTGTTTGCTTTTATTTTACAAATTCTTTTTCTCAATCATCTACCAACTTGGTGGACTGTGGGTGGTGCCCTTTGTGTAGTAGCTAGTAGTTCTGGAACTGCCATTCGTAAGTGGCGACAAAGCTTGAAAAAAGCTAAACAAAATGAAATCTAACAGTACAGATACAAATTCATTACAGAAACAAGCAATCTTGAAATATATATACAATATTTATTTTTATTTATTTTAAATATCTCATCTATCAAATTGTACCAAGTTATATCCAGTAAAATAAGTTGATTAAAAAACAAACAAAACAAAACAAAACAAAAACAAAACACAAACAAACCAAAATTGAAGATGTTTTAACAAGTGATTAGGTATATGCTTTTCTCTTTCATATTTAGGCATGCAAATATGAGAAGTAGAAAGATATTTAAAAGTTGCTTGCTTCCTATCAAAAGTGGACAGTAGTGTTTTGGCTTTTATTTTCCTAAAATTCCTATTTCTCCACTACTTAGACCCTTTCTCCATTCTTCTGAGCAGTGGAAATTAGCCTCCCAGGCTTATTTAATGCTATTCTTTACTTGATTAGCAGAGGGATTGCAGTACAAAAGTTAGAAGGGAATGAAGAGTTATAGTGCTATAAACATCCAACTTTTGTAGAACAGATAAAGCTTGCAAATTTATAAGCTTTCTATTTATATATTTTTTTTTCACAAAAAGATGCCAAATGGGGATTTATTTTTAATTTGAATTCTAAAACAACAAAGGCTATTTCATCTTGCCAAGTAATATCAAGAGAAAATTAACTTGTGAAAATTATCTATCGGCTTTGCTTTCTTTTAAAATTAATTTTACATGTTTGTACTTGCTTTACAGACGTAATGAACCAAACTAATCCCTTTTTTTATATATGATTTTTCCCAAGAAACATGTATTTAGTTGCTGCAGTCTCAGTGATGAGAGACAACAGTTAATTGCATACCACTTGTAAATTAGCCATTTCTTGTGGTAAGGAATGTTATGCTGTAGCTGCACTTTTCTTTATTCTATGCAAAAGATTATATTTTTTAGGTATTTAATATAGGTTGTTTAAAATGCTGCTTATGACTCTTGTTCATATTCTTTTGTACAAAAGATCTTTATGAGACCAAGTTTAAGGCATCTTGGCCTTCATAAAGTTAGGCAGATTTACAATAAAGCATTTGCCTGTTTCCAAAGAATTTACAAGAATGCAGAGCAATTGCAGTTTCACTTAAAATGCGGGTTGGCTGAGGTCATAGCAGAGATTCTACAGAACAGATTTGAGAAGAGCTTGGTGGGAGGGTGGACTGGAGGCATCCACACTATATCAGGCAGTGCTGGTGGGCAGCTTCAGGCCCGTGTTTCCAGCTGACCCTTGTAAATCTGGACTTAGTAACTTCTCTTACACATCTTCCCACTTTTGTAGGCTTTATCTTGATAGCAACAAATACTAAGAAGAAAGGCTTGTGTTACTGATCTTAGCATCCTTCACATTTGAGGAGGAATATATGTTTGGTATCAGGTAGGGGGATTTTTCAAAATGGAGTGTTATGTACTTTTGAGTCTTGTTTCAGTAGTGCTTAAAGAAAATTTTAACTTGGATCTTTATTTGGTCCGTCGTATCATGAGCTGTTTTTCGGTTATGTGCTCACAGTAGTGTTTTTCTAAAGGAGAATGCTGTGTTCTGTAGACTTGATACTTGGCTTTGGGTTGGTTTGGTTTTGTTGTTGTGGGGTTTTTTTCTGTGTTTTGGTTTGGGTTTTTTTTGTTTGTTTTGTGGTTTTTTTGTTTTTGTTTTTTCAAAATCACTGAAGATGACAGATGTTTTCTTATTTTGATTTATAGATGTCTAGTCATACATCTTTTGCCAATAAGCATTGCATCCTGGCAGGGCAGATCTAGGGAACTGGAGTCCAAGAGGACTGGAATGTGTACACTACTTTGAGAAGCATCTGGATGTTAGGAACCATCTTTGTGCAAGATTCTGTGTGTAAACCAGCACCCTGAATCCATATATGTTTATGGATACAAGCAGATTCCACTTGAGTGGTAGAATCAGTTTCTGCTGTAGCTGCTCATTCACTGCTTTTCCTGAAGGCTGAAGTTCAGCTGCTGCTGACAAGGGCAGGAATAGTATGAAACTGCTTTCACATCTCTTTAAAGCCTGATGTAATAATAAAATTCCGGTTTGGCATCCATTTTGCTTAATAGTTAAATTTGTAAACTGGGATTGTTTCTTCTGCTTCTCAGCCATCACTGCCATTGAGCAGCAGTTTTTGGGGGAATGAGGGAAGGAAGATAGACTGCATCTTTCACTGCTTTGCTTCATGTTTAATATGCATGTATTTCAATTGACACTTACAAAGGTATGGTTCCAAAGCAGTTCAGATTGATGTAAACTTGGATTGTCTGCTAGTCTTGGTCCCTCTTGTTGGCTCAGCTTGTGCTTATGTGGTTGTGTGGTGAGCTGGCCCTGGGAGCTGATCCATCTACATAACTTTTTAGTAAGGTTGTTGGAGAGGGAAAAATCATAGTAGCCTGAACTTGATGACAGTGTGAAAACATTAGGGAGGGGAATTATCTAATAGTACAAATTATAGTGTAGGAATGCTGCTTTGTCAGTACGAAATAAAAATAAGGTGGAAGCTTATATCAAAACATATTTAGGTCATAGGATTTCAATGAATTTTGCTTAAACTTAGTAGAGCAGAACAGACTATTGAAGAAAGGACTGTTTTCCTGCCCTTAACACATAAGTAAATGCAGAAAATAAGATGAAATCAACAACCTGATACAGTGATTGGTAATATTTTTCACAAGTTCTTGTGGAAACTCTTTCGGTATATTCCCATACCTGTAGTGCCAAAAACCCCAGATGATTTTTTTTTTTTTTTTTCCTTTGTCCAAACCTATAGGTATTCCTTATGGACTCCATCTCCTTACTTCCTTTTGCTGTTTCTAAATCTTCCTAAATGTGAGAAACTATGGACTAGGATATTGTTTATTAAGACTTATACTAAACCAAATGTAAAGGTCAGATAACAAAGGATGTGAAATCGCTAAGGCAAACAGCTATTAACTCAGATGTTGCTTGTGCAAACATGGCCGACGCTGCTTGCGCAAACCGCGGGATGTTCCGAGGAAACTGATAAAAGTAAGAAAAACAACTCCGTATAAGGACATGAAAGTGGGGGGTCGGCCGCGGGACAAAGGAGGGAGGACTCCTTGCTTCAGCCTCAACATCCACCAGGAGGAAAAAAACGACCCCCTAGCAACAGTTGGAACATGCGCAGAGTATCTCCACCACTCTATGAACGCGGGAGTCAGGATGTATAAAAAGGGACAGTCTGACCTACTCAGCACGGCAGTTGGCGGAGCGCAGACTCCCCTGCCGTCCAGCGCTGTCTTTGCTCATATTCTACTTGCTATAATTAATAAAATTTTAATTGGATTACGATCCATTGTGGTCTCAATTTATAACAATTTCTGGTGCCGTGACTCGGATAAGGAGTGGTGGACATCTGTCCTCCGGGGAGGCGCCCCACGGCAGTCCGCGGCCCTGCGACTGATAGCCCACCCCAACCTTACCGACGAACCTAAATTCTAGAATAATGAGCAAAGGAAAAACCGGTAAAATCCCATAAAATTCTGTGCACAGGAGTCCGGATGAAGACGCAGGACGCGTAAGTATATTGCGGATTTATTCGCGGGTTTACCGTTCGGGCGGGATTGGGTTTCCTGAATTATAGTGAATGAGAGGTTCGATATACTGAACCAAGCGAGTGCGGACTCTTAAGTACTGCGTTTCCCATTTCCCGCGAGGGACTGGGCCAGGAACAAGGGGAGCGAGTGAGTGTGTTTGTGGATAATTCAGAAGATGGGGGCGAAGGGCAGCAAGCCTTCGACTCCCATGGGAAGGGTACCCACTGTACCTAAGAATACCCCTCTGGCATACATCTTAGACAACTGGAAATACTTCCCTGGAACCCTAGGGAAAGATAAGCAGAAGATGATAGAATATTGTACTAAGATATGGGGAGGGAAGAAGATTTCTAAACATGTCTTTTGGCCAGTCTATGGGTCAGAAGAAGATTGGGTAAGACAGCAATTAAACCTCTGGGTTAATAGTAAAAAATCCGTTAACCTGGAGGAGAGTCAATATGCAGAAGTGTGGCTCGAGAAACCGAGAGCTAGACTTTACCCGCTGAATGAAATAAAAACTAAACAAAAGAAAAAGAAGGAAGAGTTAGATGAAACTCTTCTAATTCCCCCTCCTTACGCTCCCCCGCCTGCTCCCGCAGCCCCTCCAGAGGTCCCCAGAGCGCCCACTCCCCCACCAGAATCAGAACAAGGGTCTCCCCCTCCTCCTAGACGCGTGACTAGAAGTCAAAAAGGGGCAGCTCAGATGTATCCTTTAAGGGAAATGCCCATGGGGGGACCTCAACCTGTGATTGGATATATTTCTGTACCCCTAAGCTCGGCAGACCTACGAGATTTTAAAAGAACCGAGATGGGAAACCTAATTGAGGACCCACTCGGAGTGGCGGAAAGATTAGATCAATTTTTGGGACCAAACCTTTATACTTGGGATGAAATGCAATCTATCCTTGGTCAATTATTTACTACCGAGGAAAGAGACATGATTAGACGAGCAGGAATGAGATTGTGGGATGCTCAACATGCTCAGGGACCTCAAGCAGATATTAAATGGCCACTCCAAAGACCTAATTGGGATAATCAGGATCCGGTGCATAGAACTCATATGCAGGACCTAAGAACTATAGTAATTCAAGGGATTAGAGAAGCAGTACCCCGTGGCCAGAACATCAATAAAGCATTTAATGAAATGCAAAAGAAAGATGAAAGCCCTACTGAGTGGCTGGAACGACTGAGGAAAGCCCTTCAGCTGTACTCCGGGGTAAATCCAGATGACCCTTTAGGGCAAGCGCTCCTCAAAACTCAGTTTGTGGCAAAATCGTGGGAGGATATCAGAAAGAAGATTGAAAAGTTAGAAGACTGGCAGAATAGAGGGTTAGATGAATTATTGAGGGAAGCTCAGAAAGTATATGTAAGGAGAGAAGAAGAGAGCAGCAAGCGACAAATAAAAATGATGGTAGCAGCGGTCAGAGAGGATCGTAAAGGGCGGACAAATGAACCCAGATCTGCTGAAACGAAACAGGGGAACGTAGTAGTAAAGAAGGAACAGAGATTTTGTTTTTACTGTGGAAAGAAGGGACATATAAAGAGGAGTTGCAGAGAAAGGATCAGGGATGAGGAAATATCAAAAACGGAATAGGAAAGTCAGGGGCTCTATATTTTAGGGGACTGGAGTCATCATGAGCCCTTGATAAAATTAAAAATAGGTCCCCATAAACAAGAGTTCACCTTTTTAGTAGACACTGGGGCTGAAAAATCGACTATTAGACAAATACCCGAGGGATGTAAAATCTCCCCTGAAAAAGTACAAGTAATTGGGGCAAAAGGAGAACCCTTTAAAGTAAGCAAAATCAAAAATGTAATATTCGAAACTGAAAATAAATTTGGAATGGGTGAACTCTTGCTCGTCCCTGAAGCAGAATTTAATCTGCTAGGGCGAGATTTAATTGTTGAATTGCAATTAGAAATTAAAGTGAAAAATCAAGAACTAACAGTGTTTGCTTATCCTTTGACCATGGATGATCAAATTAACCCCAATGTCTGGTATTCTCCGGACACAATTAGTAGACTGGAAATCCCACCGATTAAAATCCAAATTTCTGAACCCCACATACCTGTGAGGATAAAGCAATATCCCATATCCCTAGAAGGATGGAGAGGATTGAAACCAGAAATTGATCGATTATTAGCACAAGGAATCTTGGAGCCTTGTATGTCACCCTTTAACACCCCCATTCTGCCTGTAAAGAAACCGAATGGGAAATATCGGCTCGTGCATGATTTAAGGGAAATAAACAAAAGAACTATCACCCAGTTCCCTGTAGTGGCAAATCCATACACACTGCTAAGCAAGCTAGGACCCCATAATTCCTGGTATAGTGTGGCTGATTTAAAGGATGCCTTTTGGGCCTGTCCACTGGCAGAAGAATGCCGTGATTATTTTGCCTTTGAATGGGAAGATACAGAGACAGGCCGTAGACAGCAATTGAGATGGACCGTGCTCCCCCAAGGGTTCACTGAGTCCCCTAATCTGTTTGGCCAGGCCTTGGAAGAGCTCTTGAAGGAATACCAGGTACAAACGGGAAATGTGCTTTTACAGTATGTAGATGATCTGCTCATAGCAGGGAATAATCAGGAGAATGTAAGAAAAGAAAGCATTCGACTCCTAAACTTCCTTGCACAAAAGGGACTAAGGGTATCACAAGAAAAGTTACAATTTGTGGAGGAAAAAGTGAAATATTTGGGGCATTATTTGTTTAACAGCAAAAAGATATTGGATCCAGAGCGCATTAAAGGAATTCTGGAATTACCTATGCCTGTCACTAAGAGGCAAATTCGTCAGGCATTAGGGCTATTTGGATATTGTAGACAATGGATAGAGAACTACAGTTTTAAGGTTAAATTCCTATATGAACAATTGTCTAAAGACAAAATACCCAAGTGGACCCCTCAGGATCAAGAGCAGTTTGCCAGTCTCAAAAGGGAGCTAAGTCAAGCACCGGTTTTAAGTCTGCCAGATTTAAAGCGGCCATTCCATTTATTTGTTAACATACATGAAGGAACGGCATTCGGAGTATTAACTCAGGAATGGGCCGGACAAAAGAAACCGGTGGCATACCTATCAAAGCTGTTGGACCCTGTGAGCAGGGGTTGGCCAAGTTGTTTACAGATCATTGTTGCTGCTGCCTTATTACTTGAAGAGACAAAACGTATTACCTTTAATGGGGAAATTGTCCTATATGCGCCTCATAACATAAGAGGAGTGTTACAACAAAAAGCAGAAAAATGGCTTACAGATAGTTGATTATTGGAATATGAAGGAATACTTATAGAATCCCCTAAATTAACTTTAAAAACTATTGGAGCAGTTAATCCCGCTGAATTTTTGTACCCAGGAGAAGGTAATGAACTATTGCACAATTGTTTCCAAACAATTGAACAGCAGACACGTATTAGGCCAGACCTAGAAGAAGAAGAACTACAATGTGGGGAAGTATTATTTATAGACGGATCATCACGAATAGTAGAAGGTAAACGATTGTCCGGATATGCCGTCGTTAAGTTGAAAAAAGGAGAATTTAAGACAATAGAATCAGGCCCCCTGAGTGCCAGCTGGTCGGCTCAAGCCTGTGAGCTGTATGCATTGTGGAAAGCATTAGTATCACTGAAGGGAAAGGATGGAACCATATATACAGACTCATGCTATGCGTTCGGGGTAGTACACACTTTTGGAAAAATATGGGAGGAAAGAGGATTTGTTAACTCGCAGGGAAAAGAACTGATACACCCGGAATTAATTCGTCGAGTTCTGGGGGCATTGAAAATGCCGAATAAAATAGCAGTTGTACATATAAAGGGACACCAGCGAGGTACAAGTTATCAAGTTAGGGGAAATAATGCAGCTGATACAGAAGCAAAACGAGTGGCAGGCAATTATAATACGATTTTGACGGTACAACAAGTACCTGTTAGTAAAAATTTGAGCTTTGAGTCTGCAGAAAAGGAAAAACTAGAACAAATGGGAGCTAAGGAACAAGAGGGTAAATACATATTGCCAGATGGGAGGGAAGTCTTGCCAAAAGGCATAGCACTCGAAATATTTTCAAAAATACACAGCAAAACACACTGGGGAACCCAGGCATTAGTTGATCATTTCAATCAACAGTTTGCCTGTATAGGCGTATATAACATAGCAAAGACAGTCACGGCAGCCTGCGAGACCTGTCGAAAGGTTAATCGAAACAACATGAGACAAAAACCTCTTGGAGGACGTTCCCCGGCATACAGACCTTTCTCACATATACAAGTGGATTTTACTGAACTACCTAGGGTAGGGCGTTACAAATATTTATTAGTAATGGTGGATCATTTAACGCATTATGTTGAGGCTTTTCCTACCTCCAGGGCAACTGCTAACCAAGTTACTAAAGTGTTACTTGAACACATTATACCGCGATATGGAGTGCCTGAAGTAATCAACTCGGACAGAGGAACACACTTTGTGTCAAAAATTGTTAGAGATCTAACCGAAAGCTTGGGTATTAAGTGGGAATACCATACACCATGGCATCCACAAAGTTCGGGAAAGGTTGAGAGGATGAATGGAGAAATCAAAACTTGCCGGGCTGGGCGAGCCGAGGACCCAGGCCAAGGAGGAAGAACGTAGCCGACTCAGTATGAGTGATAAAGTGTGCTTCAGTTTATTGATTTTTGTTACAGCTTTTTATAATCCTTCTACTAATTATGCCTACTAGTCACTAGCTGATTGGCTTAAGCT